TCCCAGGCATGTCGCCGACCCAACCCAAACATCAGAGATTAGGCATGCGCGGAAACAAATAGAAACAACCCAGACAATTAATAATGACAAGGGGTAGCAATAGCTCAAATCAATAGTTGCAATTCGTACACTTGATAGATACATACAACGTTCACAAAAGACAACTGCCAGCTAGGCCACAAACGACAGAACCACTTTAATCAAAAGAGACCGTGGTTCGTAAACTTAACTACTCTACAAAAAGGGGCACTCAAAATACAGGGTACTTGACCCGTCCTCGATCCCCGAGATTATCCTTGCAGCGTCTCCAATCAATCACGGTCGCGGATGTGAAATGGTTTGGTTAAACAACCATGAGAACACTTCTCGATAAGCAGACACCCTAAACCCCACCTAGGCCAATGCGTACCCAGACGAGTCTAAACATGCAACCTAACTATCCACATAACAAATTTCACACAATTTACTTACCTTGCTTCAAATCACACGCCAACTCTGCACATTAGTCAAATCATGGTAATTCGATAATATCCCGATAATGTAACACAATCACTCGAGCGCCATCCACACTCGCACTCAACCAATCCAACCAAATATCCACACGTACATTCAACCAATTCGACCAAACATCCACATATTCATCCGGCCAATCCAACCATTCACATTACGCACACGTGTCCAACCAACTATCCACGTCCCGCGTCAATGCGCCTCAAGTCCATTCTCACTGCCCGCATAAACACGCCTCAGGCCCAATCACACGACCTGCGTAAACACGCCTCAGGTCCATTCTCACAGCCCGCGTAAACACGCCTCAGGCCCAATCGCACGACCCGCGTAAGCAGGCCTCAGGTCCATCCTCACAGCCCGCGTAAACACGCCTCAGGCTCAACATCTTCCAATGACCCGCGTAAACACGCCTCAGATCTAACCTTCCTTTCACAGCCCGCGTAAACACGCCTCAGGCTGGCAGCCCTCTGGCCAATCCGGGCTTTGTCCAATGACCCGCGTAAACACGCTTCAGGTCTAACTTTCCTTCCACAGCCCGCGTAAACACGCCTCAGGCTATTCAGACAAGCGCATACGCCACATTTCATTGAGCACATACAATCACCACTAGGCAAATCACAATCATCCGCCAACTCAACTCATATAATACTCAATCGCACGCCAAAGCCAATCCACCAAATTCACATTCAAGCATTAAGTCACACATGGACCATCACAAGTTAACCCGCCATTCAAACACTCTCGGCTCCTCATTCAATCACGCCAAGCCAAAGCTCACATAACATGCATCAATCCAACCACGAATAATCAACGCGAACCACCGCCAATCGAACATCGAATCACATGCAAACGATCATTAATCGCGATACAAAACCCAGCATCATTCCGCTCCAAACTCAGCCACAAAACGGTCAAAAACCCCCGCAAATCAGTCCCCATTTCATTCTCAATCGATACACCCTTAGGCTCGATGACCCGCCACTAATTGGGCACAATTTCTATCATTGAACAGCCCCCACGACAGCACACAATTCGTCACTGTTCAGCCCACCATTTCAACATATAAAAGCCGACATTTCAACCTAAGAACCAGCCAATGACAGCCCCTAATTAGCCTCTAAATCAGCCGCTAATTTCACACCGAACAACCCCTAAACGATTCTAATAATACCCAAAGTCCTAAACAAGGTTTAGGGAGTTACTTACCTCAGGCCTAAGCGAGAACAAGCCGAGCAAGGGTAGCGAGGTGGGCTGGAACAGCAACGGCAGCAACCTCGGCCCAGTCGCAACTCCGGCGAACGCGCGGCGGCGAACGGCGGCGACGAATGGATGGCTGCCACACGGGAGAGAAAGCGGACAGGGGGTTGAAGAAGGAGCGGCTGCTGGGTTCATGGCCGGAGGGCAGCCAGGCGACGGCGACGGCGACGGCGGCTGGGCGGCGGAGGCTCGGCCACGGCCGGGACGGTCCGGCCAAGGCCGAGGCTGGGTGGCCCTGGTGCATCTCCGAGGCGAGCACGGCGGGTCTTGGTGGCGGCGGAGTCTTTGGGGAGCTAGGTGGTGGCGGACGAAGCAGCGGCGGCGGCTAGAACGGCAGCACGCGGCGGCGGCGAAGCCAGGGGCCGAAACAGGGGAAGGCGCTGGGGAAGAGAGAAATAGGGGGAGGGGAGGTCGCGTGGTGGCCGGAGGCGGCACAGCGGCGTCGCGGGCGACGGGGCGAGGCCGGACGAGCTGGCCGGCGGAGCCTGGCTGCGTCAGACATGGCGGTGAGCTGAGCTGGGCAGGGGCGGGCTCGACTCGGCGAAGGAAAACAGGGGAAGGAGAAGGAGAGTGGGGGGCTCGTGGTGGCGGCGGCGCGGCGGCAGGCGGGGCGGCGGCGCTAGGCGGATGGTCCGGCGAACAGTGGCTGGGGTGAGCGGCGGTCGGGCGAGCGAGCAAGCAGAAGCAGAAGCAGCGGCGAAGAGGACCAACGAAGAAGAAGAAGAGAAGAAAGAAAAGAAAAGGAAAAAGGAGGAGAGAGAAGAGGCAGGTCTGCATAGGGAGATGGTGGGACGTGCGTGGAGGAGACGTGCGCGGCAGGGGGGCCAGACGCGGCAGGGAGGAGAGAGAGAGAGAGAGAGAGAGCTCAAAAGTCAATGCGATGATTACGATCCAACGGTCATGGTTCGAACTCGAAAACGATCTAACGGCCCACGAAAATCCTAATCAATAATATAGGAAAAAGGGCCAAAAGAAATTAACTCAAAACACACTACGAGGGAGGTCTACTAGTCCAAATCCGCACCTGGTCAAAAATCCACTTTTCACATATTCCAGGCAATATCGACGCTGGCCACAATAAAATCGACATCATTCAATTAAATTCGTCCCGGAACTCCGGGAAATTCGACACCAAAATTTGGGCTCTAAATAACGGCCAAATTCGATCGAGTGCGATTCTAGCGAAATCTCTAATTTAAAAATAATAACCGAGACTGATCAGTTCCCGGGCGAGATTTTACTATAAGCACACTGACGAATTACACGTTTTATAAATCCCAAAAATGGGTCGAAATTTGAAATGTCACATGTAGCTTGTAAAAGTTCATTATTTTAGTATTAATATTTGCTATACGGGCTGGTTAAGTTGTTGACTACACCAGTCATCTCTCTTGCGATTGATATAGATATAGTTACAAGTTTTAAAAATCAATATCAATTGTGAAAATAATTAATTATATATGAGGTATATAGTGGTTTCTAGGAGGTATAATCCTTCGCTGTCAAATTGGAATACAATAAATCTTAGTCATTCAACAAATCTAGCTGTGATTTTTTACCTTTCGATCTAATGTTGAAGTCTTCAAACTTTATCTGGGCCATCACGTGTAACATGATGAGAAAGTCCTTTCATCATAAAATTACGTGTATGTACATTTTCAAGTGGGGGTCAGACTTTGTTTAGGCTTATCACGCGTGATATGATGAGAATCCATGACTCACGAGGAGGAGCTATGCCCATGAAGACAGCAAAAGTAAGTCAAGCAGCTATGGGTCGAAAATAGAAAAAGGAAACGATAACTTAAAATAATTGAGGACAAGATAGCAGGATAACTCCTTCCAATTGGATCCCTGATTGTCACTACTTTAATAATTGAGTTCAATCAGATTATTAAATTGAATAGCTTTGAACTAACAATAACATAATTAGACCATTCTAAGGGGGGAATTCAAAAGGAGGTGAAAAAGTTAAGGACTTCATCATCAAGGCCTCCACATGATTAAGACATTGATTGGAAGAGAGAGAGAGAGAGAGAAGCACAGAAAAAAGAAATTTTCGAAGAAAACTGGGGCAGAAGAAAGATAAAGCTGATGTTGATTTTGTTGTCTATAAGGATTTGATGTGCTCATACGTTCATGAGTGTTCCAGGAGGTGAGCACTGGTTGAACAAAAACGGGGAGAAGACCAAAATTCATGAGTCGCACTACTTTCGGAATGTAAATTTCACAAAAAAAAAAAGAAAGCTTGGGAAGAGAAAGCTCCATTGAGCCAGAGGACGAGAGGATTGCGAGGAGCATCTGCTTGTGATTCAAAGAAACAGTAGAAGTAAAGGTGAATTATATGTGAATTTACGTATCAATATTCATAAATTGTGAAATTAACGAACGTATCGGATTAAGAAAAAGTGAAAGTTAGTTCAACTCAAAATTTTTCCGAAGTAAAGAGCAAAAAGTAAATATATATATGAGTAATTTTAATAAAATCACATGATCGTCATATGAACATTACAATAGTACAAATGAAACATTTTCTTTTCATTTCTTCTGTCAATGAAGAGAATCAATAGAGAAGAAACTGATATCACAGTTTCCATTTTTTTTTCTTAATCATGGATTTTCTGCACCACAAGGCCAAAATCAGGAACTCAATTTCCTAATTTCCCAAATCAAATCCTAATCCCCAAAATCTCTAAGATATGACCCTAATCCCCGCATTCTCCCAATTGCCATATTGTACTAAACTGGTCCAATCAAGTTCTGATGGCTCAGCGCCATGCCTTTCACTTTCCCCATGGTCATCATCCCCGACGAGTACAGGATCGCCGCCTTGTCCGATTGTGAGACATCAGTTCAGTCGGAAACGCCGGTTTGAGTCACGGCTGTTGTCAGGGACTTGAACTTCAGCGAGTCGACGAGAACCGTTCCGAGCGGGGGAACTGTGCGAGCAGTTGTGGACGGGACGCACGCAATTGAAGGTCCCGTGAACTGGCTTAGGTGGAGAATCTCCAGAGCGGTGCTGGTAGGAAAAGATATTATCTTTACCATATATCGTCAATCACAAAAAATAAAATAAAAAAAATAAAATGCTGTCCAGCTGTAAAAGGTATTGGCCTCCACTGAGGAGCTTCAGGAATGATGTTCCATCATCTATAAATATGTCATCAGTCTTGTTAACGTTACGTAGAACTTAACCATCTCCCACCTTCCACAAACCATCCATCTGCCCCAAAACCATGGTTTCTTCCTTACTGCTTTCCAACCTGTCTCCTCTACGAGTCTTCCGCTTCTTCTTCTCGCTCTTCTTGGTCGACACCAGTTCATTTCATGGGGTAGGCGTTTCTGCTTCCTCCACTTCTTTTTCCACTGTCCACGTGACCCAGAATAAGGATGAAGCAGAGGCTCTCCTGAATTGGAAATCTACTCTTGACAACCATAGCCAATCTCTCCTCTCTTCATGGCAAGGCAACAATCCTTGCCGCTTTTCTGGTGTCGCTTGCAATGACTCTCAAGCCATCACCCATCTAAATCTTTCGTCTCTTGGTTTGAGAGGAACTCTAGACAACCTTGACTTCTCGTGCTTAACCAATTTGGTTAGTTTTGAACTTGGCAACAACTCGATCTATGGCTCCATCCCCTCTAGTATCGGTGACCTTTCCAAACTCAACTCTCTTCATCTCTATGGCAATGAACTGTCTGGGAACATTCCTCCAAGTATATGTATGCTGGAGAGTCTTCATTCTTTGGACCTATGTTCAAACAACCTAAGTGGATGCATCCCTCAAGAAATAGGGAAGTTGATATCTTTGGAAAGGTTAGCTTTGTCTGAAAATGGTTTGGCCGGTCCCATCCCCACTTCTCTTGGAAAATTGGGCAACTTAACCAAATTACGCATTTCAAAAAATATTCTTTCTGGTTCCATTCCACAAGAAATATGCGACTTGAGGAGCTTGAAGTATCTTAGCTTGTGGCACAATAGATTGTCAGGACCCATTCCCTCAGAAATAGGAAGGTTGAGGAGCTTGAAGTATCTTAGGTTATGGGACAATAGACTGTCAGGGCCCATTCCCTCAGAAATAGGGAGGCTCACTTCTCTTACGGTTTTACAAGTACTTTATAATAATTTGACCGGTCCAATCCCGGCATCAATTGGAAGCCTGTCCAGTTTAACTGTATTACAACTTGATGCCAACAAACTATTTGGCTTTTTGCCTTTGAATTTAATAAGTTAACACGTTTGACTAATTTGGGTCTATCTAATAATGAACTCGAGGGGGAACTGCCGGAAGATGTGTGCCGTGGGAGATCACTGCAATATTTCGCTGCCTTCAATAATCATTTCACGGGTCCCACCCCAACAAGCTTAGAGAACTGTAGCACATTAATCAGATTGAGGCTAGAAGGAAATCAACTTACTGAAAACATAACAAAAGCTTTTGGAATATATCCGCATCTAGAGTATATGGACTTGAGCCACAATCATTTGAATGGCGAACTTTCGTGGAAATGGGAGAGTTGTCGTAATTTGACAACCTTAAGGATATCGAATAACAACATTTCTGGTAAGATACCCACGATATTCGGAAGGATAGCTCAGTTACAAGAACTAAACCTTTCTTCAAATAATTTAAGCGGAGAGATTCCAAGGGAATTGGGAGCATATCGATGTTGTTTAAACTCGACTTAAGCAACAACTTGATTATGGGAAAGGTCCCGACTGAGATTGAACTTTTATCCCATCTGGCACATCTGAACTTGGCATCAAACAATTTGAGCGGATCGATTCCGGTGCAGCTAGGCTCATGCAAAAGCTTGTTGAGCTTGAACTTGAGCAGAAACAAATTTTGGAGAAGTATTCCTCCGGAGATAGGCAGCACACAGTTCCTTGAGGTTCTTGACTTAAGTCATAATCTATTAATCGGAAACATACCGGGAGTACTTGGACAGTTGAGAATGCTACAAGTTTTAACTATCTCCCACAACAGCTTTTCCGGTTCTATTGCACATACTTTTGGTGAAATGTCAGCCTTAACTTCCATCGATTTATCCTACAATAACCTGGAAGGTCCTCTCCCAAATGTCAAAGCTTTCAATGAGGCTCCATTTGAGGCAGTTCAGCATAACAAAGGGCTCTGTGGAAATGTTGTTGGTTTACCGAAATGCAATTCCACTGGGAGCAAGAAATACAATCGATATATTGGAGCTAGAATCACAGTTATCCTCATTCTCTCGTTCTTGGGGTTTCTCCTTCTCTCTTCACTACAAAAAAACCGGGATTTTCCGACGAAAATTTGCGACGAAAAAATTTTCGTCGGAAATTTGCAACGACTTTTGCAACGAAAAATAAAATCGTCGGAAATTTGCGACGAAAAATTTTTCGTCGCAAATTTCGTATTTTTCGTTGCAAATTTCCAATGAATTTTGCGACGAAAAAAATTTCGTCGCAAATTTCCGACGAAATTTTCCTATGAAAGATTTTTCGTCGCTAATTTCCGACGATTTTTGCAACGAAATATTTTTCGTTGCAAATTTCCGACGATTTTTGAGACGAAAAATTTTTCGTCGCAAATTTCCGACGAATTTTTTCGACGAAAAATTTTTCGTCGGATATTTTCGACGAATTTTACGACAGAAATTTATTCGTGGCAAATTTTCGACGAACTTTGCGACGAAAAATTATTCGTGGCAAATTTGCGACACGAAAAATAATTTTTTTGATATCCGTCCCCACCCCCAATTTCTCTCTGTCAACTGATTCCTCTTATCCCCTCGCTGTTCTCTCTCCGTCTCTCTCTTTCATTTCTCTCGATTTACCTATCTGTGCACGCGCAAATCAATCTCGGTAAAGCTTTTCCGCCGGTAAGTGTCGTGGCTAATTTCGTGACTAATTGGCGACGAAAACGGTTCGTCGCAAAATTATTCATCGCTAGATTTGTATTTGTTGGTGTTATTGAAATTTTTTTTTCCCTTCCTTACTGGTTTGGCCGGTCGCCGGAGACATCGCCGGCCATGGGGCGAGGTCCAGTGGCCTGGCCATGGCCGCCGGTCGACCTCGCCGACGCCCAGGTGGGCTAGCCTCGCATGGGCCTCGCCATGGCCGGCGAGCTTGAGATTTAGGCAAGCTCGAGCTCGCCGGCCAAGCTTGCCGGCCATGGCGAGCTCGAGCTCGCCCAGATCTGGGCGAGATCTAGGCGAGCTCGAGCTGGCCGGCGGCGAGGCTGGCCCTCGCCGGCACTAGTGAGGGCCGAGCTGGCCATGGCCGGCGAGCTCGAGGTCGCCCAGATCTGGGCGAGCTCGAGCTCGCCGGCGGCCTTCGCCGGCACAAGTTTTGGGTGAGCTCAAGCTTGCCGGCGGCTTGGCTGGCCCTCGCCAGCACAAGTTCTGGGCGAGCTCGAGCTCGCCCGTGGCTTGGCTGGCCCTCGCCGGCACTGGCATGGGTCGAGCTCGCCATGGCCGGTGAGCTCGCCGATCACCAGACCGGCGACCGGCCAAGAAGAAAGGAAAAAAAAAAAGGGAAAAGAAAAGGAAAGAGAAAAAAAATAAAAGATAATTAAAAAATGAATCTTAAGTAATTTGTTGTTATTTTAGGTACATGTCCATTTGAAGGTCTCGCAATCCAAGTGAACGTTGCAATTCTCATCAAATAGACCATTTTCTACTACAAAGGTTTCAGTCAAATACTTGGTAAGTCTTCTTGACATGGTAATTTTTTCATTTTTTTTCAAGTTGAAAGTAATTGTTTTGTAAAAAACAAAATTGTAATTGTTAGAAATTTATGGTTTTAATTAACAATATTAAACAATAGATTTGATATTTTTAATATTGTACGAGAAATTTTTATTTTTATATAGACACAATGCAAAGAGACAGGGGTTGGATGTATAATAAGAACTTACCTGGACGTCGAGGATTGACTGATGAGTTTCGAATCGGTTGGAACTATTTTTGGACTTTGCTAGTAATAAATATGAGTTCATGGATGGAAATAAATTAAGGTGTCCATGTAGAAAGTGCAGTAATGGAAAATTTCAAGACATTGACAAAGTTAGAGAACATCTTTATAGATTTGGGTTTACTCCGAACTATTATAATTGGATTTGCCATGGTGAACCATTTATATCTAATGACGGATATCGAATAAGCGACCAATTTTTAGTTAGGGAAGAATGTAGCTATTATGACCAATTGAACCCATATCAGGGGATGGTGTTTGATGAAGCCGGTCATAATTTTGTTTCGGAATCGAATCATGCAAGTACTAGTTTTACTCCTACACTTGAACAAGTGGAAACTAGTCATGCATCACAATTGGAAGAGATAGGAGTTACATGTTTTGATGAGAATGTGTGTGATGGAACTTTTCAATCTAATCAGTTCTGGGAAGTGTTGAAAACAGCAAGTGAACCTTTATGGGCAGGTTGTGACAACCACACGAAGGTATTAGTGACAGCAAGACTGTTAAATATCAAGGCAAAGCATAATGTGTCTGTGGATTGCTTCAACTCTTTTGTTGAAGTAATGCGGGAAACAATGCCTCGTGATAACATCATGCCAAGTGACTTTTACGATATGAAAAAGCTAGTGGATAACTTAGGTCTTCCAGTTGTAAGGATTAATGTATGTAGTAGGGGTTGTATGTTATATTGGAGAGACGATGAAAATGCAGAATCATGCAAATTCTGTAGCTAACCCAAGTACAAGATTAACAGGAGGCAGGGTCGTAATCAGAAGCGTAGACCATACAAGCAAATGTTTTATTTTCCCTTAATCCCCAGGTTGCAAAGGCTTTATGCGTCTCAAGCCACTGCTGAATACATGACTTGGCATGCAAATTATGAAACTGAAGAGGATCTAATGTGTCATCCTTCAGATGCAGAGACATGGAAACATTTTGATAGAACATACCCCGAGTTTGCGATAGAGCCTCGAAACATCAGGTTAGGTCTGTGTGCTGATGGATTTACCCCATTTGGGAAATCAGGCTAAAGTTATTAATGTTGGCCAGTTATCTTAACTCCGTACAATCTTCCACCCGGTATGTGCATGAAGACACCTTATATGTTTTTGACATTGATCGTGACTGGCCCGCAAAATCCGAAAAAGTTGATAGATGTTTATATGCAACCATTGATTGAAGAGTCACAACGGCTATGGGATGAAGGTGCCCTACGTATGACGTTTCTATCGATCAAACATTTGTAATGAAGGCTGCTCTTCTTTGGACGGTAAATGACTTTTCAGCTTATGGAATGTTATCTGGATGGAGTACAACTGGGATCTTAGGATGTCCGATATGTATGGAGAGATCGAAGGCATTCAGATTAAAACATGGTAAGAAGCCCAGCTATTTTGGTTGTCACAGGCAATTTTTGCCGCTAAATCATACATTCAGAATGAATAAAAAAGAGTTCATCAAGAATAGGATCGAAAGAACACATCCACCATTGAGGTTGACCGGTCATAAAATTCGGGAGCGAGTGCAAGAGTTTCCAACTGTTATTAAAAACCCTCACGGCACAACTATTGGGTACGGAAGTACACATAAGTGGACTAAACGCAGTATATTTTGGGATTTACCATATTAGAAGCCACATCTTATTCATCATAATCTTGACGTCATGCACATAGAGAAAAACGTTTTTGACAATGTCATAAATACTGTGATGGATGTTACTGGAAAAACAAAAGATAACTTGAACGCAAGAAAAGATATGATGGATATTTGCGATCGGCTAACACTAGATGCGGATTCAAGCAGCATGGGACCAAAACCAAAAGCAGTTTATACATTGGACAAGGAGCAGAGACGAGTCGTTTGTCAATGGTTGAAATCGGTGCGATTTCCTGATGGATATGCTTCTAATCTCGGGAGATGCGTTGATTTAAATGAATGCAAGTTGACAGGTTGAAGAGTCATGATTGTCACATATTTATGGAAAGACTAATTCCAATAGCCTTCAAGGAACTTCTATCAAACTTTGTTTGGGGCGCCATTACAGAATTAAGTAATTTCCTGCATGATATTTGCTCAACAGCGTTGAAGGCATCACATATGGAGAAACTAGAGAGAGATATTCCAATTATTCTTTGCAACTTAGAAAGGATATTTCCTCCATCGTTCTTTGATTCAATGGAGCATTTCTTAGTTCACTTGCCTTACGAGGCCAAAGTTGCAGGTCCTGTCCAATTTCGATGGATGTATCCATTTGAGAGGTAAAATTTTTTTAAATAA